CTTGGAACTGTTGAGGAGGTTGCACAGTACATAAAGCTTAAGCATGTTTTGTGTATCTCGTACAGAAGGCGTAGGGAACCATTGCCTCCGTCAGTATGAGTTCAATAAAATCTGAGCAAATTTAAGTACCTACCAGTTGCACAGGCCTATGGAAATGTGCGCGAGTACTTTTTGATCAGACTCAGGACCAGCCAATCACTCAGTTGGAATAACAGGTCAAACGATGTTAAGAAAGAAAAACTTTGCAAAATAATGTAATGCAAATTTGATACGGTGGTAGTTTAACTCGCGGTTTTGGTGAAGAGCCACTTTTGGTCGTTGAACCACGCCGGGTGGGCTGGCCATCGGGCTATGACTGTAGCTTAAATACCCTCTCAGTTACTGAATATATAAATTCTTCCCGAGTACTATGCCTCTTTTCGTCCTCAAAGAAGTCTCGGGGCGCTACAGTAGGACCTCATGCCACTTCAAAACCTACACATGGAACCAACATTGGAGCTTCATGTGCAAAACAGACGCTTGGAAGATCACAATTATATAGAGGTGCAAAGACCTACAACTAAAATAATGGTTTGTAGTGATTTCTTACCCCAGTTAACCGTATTTTTGGATTGGGGTACAATTAGTTTACAGCAGTTTGTTCTGTCATGCTCTCATTATTTAGCTCTTTGTTCGATTACGCAGATGGTCAAGTGTACACCGGTTCGACGTCTGCTCGGCGGCGTGGCTTCCGGACATTTAGTTTGCTACTACGGCTTCTTGCGGCCTCAGAGAAGACTCAAGAAGCTTCCATAAATTGGTAGCAAATGTTAGGCTGCAGTACTTTGGCCTGTTACAACTTCAGGTAAGAAGGGGTACGCCACCTCATTTATTGCCTTTATGAGGTTGGTAATATTTTCGGGTTCAGCAGTAAAACAAAGCACGACAAAACATTAATAAAAGGTATTCAGCAAAATAGAGTTTAAACTTGAGTTATTTACCCACATACTTCAAAATGCGGACTAATTTTGTGTATACCCGAATAATGTATTTAGCCTGTCTTTAAATAACAATTAAATACATGAGTTTTTAATAACTTTTACAACCAGCTATGCAAAGCTACCCATAAGTGGAGCAATAACATAGCCTCCGATAACTCAGTAATAATAATATTTTTAAGTTTTCTATTCAACGCAGCGCGGGTCTTAAATTTATCTTTCCGGTCAGCTGATTCCTGTGTAGTGTTAGGCTGAGATATCATGTCTATTTGTGGCGTTTTATCGTCCCAATTTACATGTTTACTTATGAAATGAGGTTATCAACCGTTTGTACTACTTAAGCTTCTTGTTTTGTGTTATTTAGTGCATTGGCACTCCTTTTTCCAACCGGCTGTTGCAGTAATTACAGAAGAACTCGAGATTTGAAGCATGTTCACTAGAATGCTATCCAAATACCTATTTTGGTAATTTTTGCTAAGGGTGAAAGTCCCACGTATACTTTCTTCTAACGTCTGTTGTACTTTGATAGTATCTAGTTTGCATACCCTCTAACTCTTGGTTCATATTTTTTGTTATTGATTAATCACGATTTTCGTATAAACGTCCATCCTTGGTTTAAATTCTACCGACAATGAGATAAGTCATAATTCAATTATCCTGTATATACCTCTTTGTAATTTGGTTTCTTAAACCCATTTAAAAATTGTGCATTTTGGGTAACCTTACTGTCCCCTGTATTTGCTCTCTTTTATAGATATTAAACGCAAAGCTTGGCGAAGTACTGATTTACAAGTTTTTGTCTGGATAAATTTTATTCCTTCAAGGGTTTCGTCGATATGCAACCTTTGTTTACTGTTCCAGTAGAGAAGTATAGGTGGGTTCGACAGGTTGTAGTAATCAGTTATATACAGTGAGAAAAACTTGATGGAGAGCGTTCGTGATATTCTCACTGACTGCTTACCCACAACCTCCCCGATGCCGGATCCCTCTCAAGAGCTTGTTGTCTGGGCCAATTTTGAGAATTTTTCCTCTTCCTTCCTGGGAAGTGAGAAAATATCCTTTCTTCTCCTTATAAGCACTAATCATGGATTTTACATTTGGGCCATAGTGGTGCGCTATTTATGTTAACTCATAAACTTTCTTCAGAATAATGGACAGGCATCACTGTTACTTTCATGCGTGGGGCTCTATGCTCTTGGAGCCAAACTCTTGACTGATCCCCATGGTAGGTTTTTTCCCAATTTGATACGTCTCATCACTAGCTGAATTCATCGATTACAAAAAGGATTCACGTCCCCTTATTGCAATATGCAGCGAGCAAAGGTAAGTTCTTTCAATGAGTCGACTTTCTTTTAGTAATTCCAAATGGAACGTTTACTTTACTTCTCTTCTCACCGGTGCTATTGTGGTCAACTACTCCTCCCCATCCTATGTTTCCTCCCTCGAGGCTAATCGACGGTTTTTACTCTTTTTTGCTCATCAATTCTCTTACAGATTTGTGCTTGTGAATCGTGTTGATTGCATTTCCGTTCTGTCAGCTCACACTCTCCTGGAACTGTTTACTGTCGGATGTAAGTGTTCTAGATGACCCTCATCTATAAACTCCACTTCAAGTCATTAGTCTTATTGTTCTTTTTAAGATATAAAAACGATTAGCAAATCAATGCTAGCCAAGAGTCTCCCCGTCGCTTTGGGCACCCGGTGGTTAGCTTTCCCTGATGTTCGGGTAATTCTTTTGGTTTAATGAAAACTGCTACCTTCCTTCAATAGTTTATTGAATTCTCCTCCCCTCGAGGAGCTATGCGCATTCACATTATTCCCATTTTCTGTTTACGTTTTTTGATTTTTCAAGCCAATCTATCATCACATGTCTCGATGTGGTGATGCAAGTGACGATTCATCAAAACCCGTTGCCACGACTGTGCTCAATGTAAACAAAGTAAGCTAGTTCTTCCCTTGTCTTCGATTTGTGCTAAAAGAGTTGCTTCTTCCCTATTTAATTTTCAAACCGGGAAACTGTCTGCGCTTTATTTTAACTCCCAAAAGGATGTATTTTTTTGCAATAAGTGCTTATTTTGACGCAAAGTAATTGGAGTTGAAAGGCTTCGTACAGCGCATAAGGCCACGCAACCTCAGAGGTCAGACAAATCCAATCATAGGCATGTGGACTTTTTAAAAATTCGTCGTTAACCCTCTTCCTTTGGTGTGGCTGTACTCAACAAATCTATCATGTGTTTCAATGTCAGCAGAAGGGGGTGGCTATCTTTGTATCATGGAGTAGTCTTAGGCTTTGCTTGGAAAGGCTTTCTAACACGAATTGTGACGCCTTTTGCACTTCAATGCAACACTGTCAGCACTTACCGCCAGAATATGCTGGATCATTTATTAGCATATAAAAACTAAATGAAGGAGTCCGATGCCTTGTTAAGATCCTTTGATGCATTTAACCGGCGAATTTTTAAGCGGGCATTATAGATTGCCTGATGTATTGCACTTTGATCAATCCGTTTACTGCACTTTACCTCCAGTTTCTTCATCTGATATGTTCCCGCAAATTTCTTAATGTTTTTGCAACCACAGTTTTAGAGGAAAATTGACCACTGCAGGCCGAATACTTTATTGCTCTATTATGGTGCCAATGCTTGCTCTACCGAACCGGGTGTAGTATTATAGTCAAAACAAAAACTTGTTACTACATCTACTTTATTGTTCTAACATCAACCACCTTTGTTTGGGACACGATTTGGTGAGATTAATTATTTATCATAAACTGAGATGTAGCATATGCATTTTTTGACGTCGGACGCAGATAAGAATGTCCAAGCGTCACACGTGTCTTGCAATCGTTTCAACGTGTCTAGAATGACCTATTTACGACGATATTTCACTAACTTTTGTAGGCGCCATGTGAGTTCGTTCAACTGTTACGTAAATTACATCCAGGTTGAGCTTCAAGGTAGAAACTGATTCTTAATGTGGCTATCGGTTAATCTGATAGCTAAGCTTCTGTCGTTTGAATTTGCCAGCTATATAGCCTTATTGGGATATCGCTGCTTCCATTTGGCTACAGAAAACGTTTCCCTAGTCTAGTTAGTTAACCAGCCATCATGCAGATTTAATTAACAATGCCACCACTGCGCCGGACCACCTAACTTTTATAGTAAATAAACGATCTCTATGGTTCAGTCTAATCTAATTCAGTCGATACGGGCGACTTTAAGACACGATTTTGAGCCACTTTTATCTGTAAAGGAAGAATATCAATCAACTTGTTCATCGCCCACTCTTGATGTCGTGCAAGGCAGTTGAGAATAATACCGGCATCTCAAATCCACTTATGTGAAATGCAGCCACATCCTCAATAAACTCCAATATATAGCAGCCCAGTATTTTCAGTTGCTTGACTTTTTTTCCCTATGTATGGATATTGCAGCGCTTTTGGGACGGTCTATCGGCGCTAGCAAGCAGTGTATCAATAGGTTCGTCCAATCCGCACACCCGCTGTCCCCTCTCCATGGAGTGCCAGTCAATGGAGGCCACGGGTGATCCTTCCCCATCCTCCTCCACTGCGAGCTACGTCTCCGTGGTGGACCTAGTTCGCCTCTCTGAAAACTACAGTGCCTTTGAGAACCAGAAGCTGCTCAGTTCGCCTGCCTCTGAGGCGGAGACCAATCAGGAGGCTCAGATGCAGATGGAACAGCAATATGTTTTGGGCGCTGTGCCGACTTACTCCGTCTTGCAGCACCCGCATGTCTGCTCCACACTGAAGCGCCATCCCTGCCATCACTGTCACTCCCAGCGGCAGATGCATCAGGGTCAGCAGACAATGGTGGGGGGAGTGGAAGAAGAGGTTCTGCTCACCCACAAGAGTGCCTCCATCAATGTCCATGACTTCGCTGACAACGGCGCTCTTGTGGCTCATTTTCTGGTAAGACAATTTTCGTTTCCTTGTGGACAATCTGACATGTTTTTAAAGCCTTACTATTTACGTTATTTATGTGAAGGCGACATCTGTAGTTTGGAAATGAGGGGATATTAAAGAAAGTCAGACAGTTCTCTTACAAGATTTAGTTAAGCAAATATTTTCTTTCGCAGTGATGCATTGAATTTAAGATAAATGCTGCTGTCAGGATGGGTTAGCTTCAGTCTTTTTTAAGTCAGACTTAACCAGAAGGTAAGGTCACTGTTTGTGTGCCTTTTTTGCCTGGAGTGGAAGATGTTAACGTGTCTGGTACCACGGTCTCAGGGGAGGGTAGATCTCCACGCTTAAAAGAATATACGTTTCAGCGAAAGTTATAGTGTTGGAAACGCAGAATGGGATTACGATTGGACCATGAGCATCCTTTCCTACTTTTACGCCGATGCTGTTTAACGTGGGTGGCGGTACCCCATCAAGACCTGCACTTTCCTCCACTTGGTTGTGAATGGCTTAAATTGCTCTGTAAACGTGAGATTACTTGCTAATCTTTATGCCCTTTTGACCCCAACTAGCGTTCTGCTTATTGTGGTCAGCTGGACCCGGTCAACACATAACCTCGTCTGGTTTTTGAGTGCCTAAGTTTGTGGTAAGAGAAGAATCCCCTCAAATTCCTACTATCCAGGCACCCTTGACTATGCGTCTGGCTTGCTTTATGTGGTAACTCGAATTAATAAACCAATCCTGCTCGGCCTACACATTCGTTTTACTTAAGAATCCGATGCGTTCCAGGGTCGTGTTGATCTTCGGTTTTGGATAGCCCAAGTAGATGGTTTGTATCCCGCCTATTTGGATATGAACATGAACTTCCCTTAAGGGGAGCCTTCTCGTGTCGTGTAACCACGTGTGATCACGCGTAGCGTCACTTTTGATGCCCAGGTCATTGTGCTTCTCTGAAACGGGGGGGGGGGGTAGTTCCGACACGGTACGCCGTTGATTACAGGGTTTGTTCGTATCGCGTCTCATTCGTATAATCCTGAAAAAAGGCGTGGATTTTGTCTTAGTACCTTTTCTATCACCGCATCCGACAAAAAGCACGTTCACTTGGGGATGGAACGTTTGGTACTTCTAAGTAAAAAATGCAATTATTCCTTAAATCAAAAAATCCAACGTTCATTTTGTTGTTTTGGTCTCAGGAAAACTGTTTACAACACGATTTATAGCAAAGTCTTGTTACATACTGATAAAGAACACATATAACATGTATGTGATGCTTGTAGTAAGCTTGTTTTGTATGCTGTGCGGAGGATCACATTGGCCCTTTGCGAGAGGATTGAGCCGATAATAAGTGGTTATTACGTGTGTTAGGCACACCGGTGGGCGAACGTGGGGTACCTGGCGTTCGATTCGACAGGTTCATTACTCTTCACTGCCTGCTCGCAAGGTCACGCCTTCCACGTGTTCCGTATCTCCAACCATCCCCAGGATTCGCGCGAGACCGCCGTTCACCACCTCTACATCCTCAATCGTGGCTCCACTCCTTGCGAGGTGAGTGAAGTCTCTCTCTGGGGTCCTGTTATCTATGTACCGTCCATCCGCTCGTTTGACATTGTTCTTGTACTCATTTCTGCAGACAATTGACGCTTGCTTCTCGCCTGATTCGCGATGGCTCGCAGTGAGCACCAATCACGGCACCACCCACGTCTTTCCCATTACCCCTTATGGCGGTCCCATCACAGTGCGGACGCACAAGCGCTCTCGGGTGGTAAATCGGACCTCGAGGTACCATAGATCTTCGGGACTGGAAGAGTATCATCTCACGCGACCTCAGCCCTCGCGCGGTGTGGAGCCCTCCGTTATTGCTTCCTCCTCAGTCTCCTCCGCCTCTGCGTCTGTTGGGAGCGAGTTGAATTGGGGAAGCACGGGGTGTCGAGCGGCCGCAACAGCTACTGGTGCGGGCATATCTGACCTCATTCCAACTTGCCGTGGTCGATTTGGTGGTGTGGACCATACCACCAGTCCTAGAGAGTCTCCGATCAAGGGTGAAACCTATTGTTTCATACACTTACTCTCTTAATCACATTTCTTGTAGTTTCCACTTATTCGTCCGATTTTTTACGGAAATTCAACTCGTCTTGAAAACCCTTACTTGATTAGTCCATGCTACGCCTACATTTAGTCAAATTGGAGGCAAAAATTAGGAAATTTTGTTTAAATCTTACCTCAATTCTCGAACATTCCGTAAATATGCTAGCTTGGCTGAATCCCTAACCCTTTTCAACCACTTTCATTACATTGGTTTTAAGTAAAATATCCGACTTTTACTCAGAAGTAGTTGGATTGTGTGCTCGCATCAGAAAGGAGCAGTCATTCTAAGGGTCTTCTCGTTATATGAGCCTCAAACCTCATTCCAGCCTCTAGGTTAATCTTGAAGGTCTTCCTTTCTAGTTGTTTCATCAACTTGAGATTATCTTCGGACCAAGAGTAATCTGCATCCATTGCATTGTTTTAAACTCAACTAAACTACAAAACGGTTTGTAAATGTATTTTGTCAGGGTCTATTTCACTGAAACACCGCGCTTTCGTGTGGATTTTCCGAACTGTCTCTCTACTACGTACTTCCACATGCACACTGGAAAGGGAGAGCGCTTAGGTTACTGACACCACCATAGGCACTACATCCAATTTTAGTTGTTGGTTGCGCGCCAGAGAGAGGGGAGGGCGCAATTTGCTCTACTTTGTTTGACTGTTGATTAAGACATCAATGGCGAAGAATTAATCCGTTTTCAGCCTTTCGATTCGAGTGTGAAAGTTGTCCCCGGACAGCAAATCATTATCAACATCTTGCTCATAGACGCCTGTGTGTATCGGTCCTCTATGGTCATGCAAAGAAGAAGACCGGGAGTGCAGGAATGCACGCCTGGGTGAGTACTGGCTTTGTGCCCATGCCTATGTGCATGTTGGCACCGAGTTCCCACGAATTCTTCCACCTTCATTTAAAAATTGCACATTCACATGCGCACACTGGTATTCCGCCCTTTAGCAATCTGTGCTGCACACTAGCAACGGTGCTCGTGTTCCACGCTCTACTCTTCTTGGATTGTTTGTGCATCTTGTGGCTCCAAATGCTGTGTCCTTGTAGGGTATTTAATCCACCAGATCATGCATGTGTGTACTAATCGGTTGTACTGAAGTCACGTAGTACACTCGTGGGTGCTGTTTATTTTTTATGTCCGGCCAGTATTTCTGATAACCTTTTTTCTACCGTTTTATATTCATTGCTGACCTTCGATGACAAAAAATTGGATCACTTTTCTGTGAGGTCACATATACGTCACGCTCTGACTTCATTTTAAGGCCGATGACACAACCATGTGAAGTGCGTTTTCAATCCGTCAAAATAGATGCAGCATGTTTATAATCTAATTGTTAATACCGTGTTGCTTGGCTTTCCTACACAGTTTTTAAATCGTTCACTTTTGGAGTGCAAGTGTAGGTGTAATGGTAGGACAAGGAAGCATCCTCCAGGCCGTGGCAGTCAACTTTCTTCCAACACCCTGGCACCGAACGTAGTAAAGTGCAACTGACACGTGGGTAAACACTTTCACCGGCCTTTTTCCTTTAAATCGTGAATGTTTAGTGGTGGATCATCTTTACCACTCGTCCAATAGTTGGATAACGAGATGGTCCTTGTGAGGCAACCTAGCTGGCCGTCTGATTTGACTCACTGTTTGAGACGAATTTGTTATTCTTGACGAAGATTAATGCTACGGTTTTGGGGAGGATGTGTTGAATATCATTGGCTGTTTTGTCACCCACGTGCCCAAACCCTGAACGCTGACACCGCAGAGAGGGAGAAGGGGCTGCTAGAGTTGGGGAGGCTTTAATGATCGTATTGTCAACCCTGCGGTTGGTACGATGAATTAACCAATATGGACTACTACAGCGAAAACTACACCTTCTTGTGCTACCTCTACCATTCACTGTTTCGCTCTATGTGTGTATGTGTGCGTGTGTCATAGTACAGACGATGGATAGTTTTCCCTTACCTTATTTTTCTAACCCTACTAGCCTAAAGTGCAATTCTGATTGCCCTACCCAGAGTCGGAAAATCCTGTACTTTTGAAGTCGCACTATACATGGGAGAGCAAAACTGCTGATCTTTCGACTTTGAACCGTGTTTAAATGTAGCTTAGAATGGTTGCATGTCCCCGTGACGCGATCCATTCTTAGTCCTGGCTCCAGTAAGACCTGCAACCAAACTGGACCATTTCAAACTACTTTTGTCTGTTTGATAGGCCTCCTGTTTCTGTATTCCGTTGGTGCACTTGATTTCAAGCTGTCTAGCAGCTTGCTCGGTTATTTTATGATCACCCAGTCTCAGCCAACTGTCATTTTGTCAGCCGGCTGGTTCACCGGCCTGGATGGGGGAATGGGATTTACTTTGACCTCCTCGCTTCCCCCATCCACAGATCAATGCACATGCTCACCGAACGCGGTGTACAACACAACGAACCCGCGACTACCACCGTACCCCGAACCCTGCGAGCTGCAACCGGAGGCGCGTCTACGTCCACGCATGCCCTCGCACTCCACTGCCTCGGGCTACACCGCTGCTGCGATCAATGCTGCCACTGCCTCCTCCGCTGTCCTTGCGGGGTTAGTCCGCCTTCCCTCCTCCACACTTGTCATCACCTCTTGGCTCTTTGCAGGTTCAGGGTTGACTGTTCTCTCCAATAGAGCATCGCGGAGGCGGTTAGTCTATCTGGCAAACGCTTTGCGAGTAGAAAGGCTCATGTGATGTGTACCTGTCGCTTTACCTTCGCTGGTCCACTTTGGAATCACTATTGGTGTGAAATGTCGATAGGTTCATTAGTCTGCAACATTTTACGTCATGTGTTCTCTCCAGCTAGACCATTTGTGAATTCCTGTCTGGGTGGTTTATTAAAATGCA